TTTGAATTAGTACATAATTCTCAAACATGGGTAGCCTTTCAGAACACAACACAAGGGAGTATATTTATTGCCTACGCAACTGCCATGTTCAATGGTTTTCAAGTATCTTGTGTTCTAATCTTAATTAAGGACTTCATGGTTCTGTCTTGGCTTCCTGAAAATTCCCCCCATGATAAGTACAGGTAGAAAACTTCCCGGGACATGCCAGGAGAAAATTTAATGGAAAATGCTGCTGCAATTCCAGCCAAGTCCTGCTGATAAGATTTGCCTGTACATATCTAACTTACTAAGTACACATACCATACTAAAATTTTATATAGTTTTTTAAATATTTATTTAAAAAAATAAATATATATAAAAATAAAATCTACAGCCATGCCTATATCTCCCTTTCTTCAGTGGGAAAAATCATCAGCTGCTAGTTTTCACTTACTCACATAAAGAATCGCATACACTGGCGATAACCCCACTGTAGTCCAACGCTGGCTTATTCGAAGAAATTAAAGCCAGGAACAACTACCAGATTTAGAGATTCAGTTTCTACCATCACTCTCAGAGGCTGCTCCTTCACTCACAGGATCAGTGGACCCATGCACAAGATATGTCCTTCCATAGGGAAGGACACGTACCTGCCCCACAGACTTGCAATGAGCCTCGCTGTATGTCATTATAGTGAAGATACCAAAATATCCTGACAAGTTACTTTAATTCTTTTAAAGCCTCAAACTAGACATTTCATTCATAATAAGTGATAGTATTCATTAAAATAAATGTTTAACAGCCAGTTATTAGCAGAGTGGTCATACTTTAAACATTTAATTTGCTACCGATACAGTTTTGCATTAGCAAGACTGGAAAACAATTACAAATTACACAATTCAATTTTCCAAATGGATTATTCCATAACTAGACAGAAAGACTGTTTAAATTACTTCTGCTGTTTCAAGGCAAGATTAATACAATCGGATTAAAACTTAAAACCCCTCAAGGAATCAGTATATTCCTGTCAGCAGTATGCAATTAGTTGGTTTTGTATTGGAATATTAAGGATTCTTCTGGCACACTGCAAAGTCAAAAGTCACTTGGAGAAATAAGAATTTCTTCCTTCCTCCAATATCATTTTGTTAAAGCATATGGTAATTTGTGGTTGATTATTTACATTTAACAAGTGAAAACTAGACAGCTACCTGAAAGGCAACTCTCTGCGTAGATTTTGTAGCCTAGATCCTAATTATTTTCTCTCCCTTGTGGGACCAAATGAATTAAGTGAGCAATTTGCTTTGTGTATGCAAATTTCCAGTTCATTTCATAAGCCACAGATGACTGTTCTCAGATGACCTGTACTTTAGGACACTTTAACCTTTCCACTTTTAAAAAAAATAGAACAAGATCAGAAAGTACTTAAAGGTCAATATTTTACCAAAAAAAAAAAAAGTACTTATTTCTTTTGTTGTTTTAAACTTCTGGTGGCAAGGATGTCAAAATTCAGCCCCTGGTGCAGGGCTGCAGTGGAGGACACATACATCATGCATTCAAATGCGAACAAATTGGACCCCCCGATATAAAAGCAGCTCAGGTCCAGTGACTGGTACCACCATGGTGCCAACGGAACAAATGGTCTGGACAGCCTCTTTCCACTAATAAATCAAAGTAACATTTGCACTTTAATTCATCACAGAAAAAAAAAAAAGAAAAAAAAAGCAACAAAATGAAACAATTTAACACTTCAGTGAAGGAGGCAGGTGCTATTGAAAAATCAGCTTCATTCATCATTTTTCTTTTTCTACCCTCTACAGTTTTATGACAGATTAAACCTTTCCTGAGATTGATGGGGTGAGCGGGGGCTCCCCAATTTTCTAGATTTGATACTGCTTTCAACAGCATTTGAGAATCACTTCAGAACCTAGGTAGGAAGTTAACGACCATATTTCTGAAACACTGGTAATCTGTAAGTCAGGTTTTCCACTTACAGCATCATCTCTCAGACTGAACTGCATTCATCCTTAGATTCATTAGCACAAGCTTATGACACGGCGACACCTGACATGTTAACGGGACTGGCTGGGCTTCTCATTTGTCGGATTGACTTTATTGTCAGAGACAGCGAGAAGCAGCCTTCTGTCCAGGAGTAACAGAATTAGAATAGTCACAGAAAAGTCTCTACGCACCGTCAAGCTGTTATTACAACAGCTGCTCTTGCTGACCAAATGTGTATCAAGACAACAGCGATGACTGTCCTAGGCCTCTGGATGATGTCTTGAGTACCAAAGTCCCATTAATATTACAGATCAAAACCAGGTGACAAGTAGTGCTAGTTGAAGACTCTGCCATATTAAGTAGTTTGTTGGGGGTTTTTTAATCAATAATTAACTATGCTTTTTATAAGAATCAGTTCAACTACAGAATGGTATAGAGCAGCAGTGACATGTTCCCCTTTTTCAACACCTCATATTTAATACTGTTAGAAGCTGCATCATTCACCACCTTAGAATTTCACACATTTACAAAGCTTATTTTAAAAAGAAACTTATTTTTATCTACCTGCGCTCTTTGCAAGTTAACACACTTTAGCCAGAAAATGCTATTTAATATTCATTAGCTTCCTTTCAGTAAGGTTAATTAAAAACAAACAGAACCTGTCAACTTGCACGGCCGATGACTCCACAACTCGAGGACAGCCTCATTTACCACCGCAGTGAAAAACTGGGGACACTGCAGTGCCCCACTGCCAAACAGCAACACTGCATAAGTGACAACCCCCTGTCCCAGGCCACTCTACTTCGTTAGCACTACTTCATTACAGAGAAGCAAAGAGGAGTGATAAACGTGGAGAACAAACGCTGATGGCAATCTTCCCAGGGTAGCTCCCGTGAACGGCAGCAAGATCGCTGCCCGGTCGTCCAGCCTGTCTGCAACCCAGTGGTGCTCAGCAAGCGCATCCACAGCATCCAACCTGGCACGGTGCTGGGAAGAGAGATCTCTCCGTTTTATACCGGAGGACTACAGGCTTTCTGGCAGAAACCACAGCATTGCATCCTGTCATTTAGGTCTACATACTCGGGTCCTGAAGCAGACAGAAGTTTAGGGGAAGGGCTCAGAGTGATTGGAGCTGGCAGTCTAGCTCGGCAGGTCCAAGACACCAAAGAACCATAGAAGCTCAGGCTGATCATCTCAGATATATTCAGCTTAAGACTCGGACCCCAAGACACCCCACCCGCCTCCCAAAGGAGACTTAGGAAATAACATACCAGTTCACCCCTGCTGGAACCAGTGCTTTCAGGAGTACACACTGCATTCAAATTTGTTTTATTCCTCCAAAAGGTAGAAATCTCTCTGCACACTTCCCCTCAAGACATTTGGGTCTAGGCCTTCATCCTGCCTGAAATAACCCCTAGATTTGGCTAGGTTCTGGTAAAACACACATAAAATATGTGGGTAAGATGTCCTACTGCGATGACAATGTTTCTCAAAACTTCAGCCGAGACTAGGGTTTGCTTTAATGTCTATAACTGTTAATATTACAGATCTGATTATGTACAGTTACAGATTTCAAAAGCAGAAAGCATGAACCTGGCAGCTACTAAACAGTCAATTCCCAGTGACTGACTGTGGAGTTTGACCATTGTTTATTCCTGTCAAATAAGCTACCAGAGAAATCCAGAAACTAAATTTATAGAAGAAGCAATAACTTAAAATTAAGTAACTGTTAACTATAGACTAAGCTTGACTTAAAACTGAAAATCCCTCCAAGCTAGTGAGGCTTTCTGTGGTGCTTCAGCCTGCAGATCCAGACGCAGGAACCTGCTGTTGGGTTACGTATGTGACAAACAAGTGCTAACCTACAGAACTTCTTGAAAGAAGAGAAAAAAGTCCAGCCTCATTTAGATTCCCCTTGGATTTCATATCCATTACCTAATGTGAACTTTAAGTCAGTGTATGCTGCTAATATATTGCATTAATACAATGGAAGGAATACAGATTTGCATCAATAATTGACAGAGCCATACTAATATAAATGCAGTGTTTCACACAAAGCTGGAAATTGTCTTACACACACTGTGCAACCCTCACACACATCAAATGAAAAAAAAATGCACTTCTCATTACTTTTGAAAGTTGCTTAATATAAATTTGAATGAACTATTTCTGGGCATGACTTACTACAAATAGCCACAGGTTTTATGACCAATCAATTACAGATTACATGGCATGTGGACAGACAAGTCTGAATTCAGATTCAGAATTCCCTCAAGATTTCATCCTAAATGTATGTCAAAGTGAGTAAGTGCAGATCAGCCTCAAGCTGAGCTGTGCTCGCCGACTCCTAGGAATTTATGCACATAATTCCTAATCTTCTAATATATTAAGCTTTTGCCAACAATGATTATAAATTAAAGGGTTTCTTATTTTCATCTCCATGCCCAGGAGAATTACACATGTAAATTCTCAGATGAATATGAAATGTGCACATAACTCCAGAGCGATTAGAGGGAAAAACTTCATTCTTTTAATACCGGTGAATTTAGCAAAGGTTTTCACACCATCACTGCAAGAAAAATTTGCATGTTGTCCTTCATTTCTGTAGCTGTTTACTGTCTTCCCACAGATCCAAAATCCTAGTAAAATGGGAACCTCTAAGTACCCAGCTTTTTGAATCCACGTCACTTTTGATGGTCGTCACTGTAATTATGAAGAATAGTAGTCACTGCAAAGTATCTCAGATCTGATTTTAAAGGGGTGAGGAGAGGAAAGGACATCTTCTCTAAAAATAAAGTCATTTTCCATTAGCTTGGCAAGATGTTTGCTACAAAGCAGAAAATAGAACACTTACTCTGCCTCTACTTCACTGCAGGAAAGAACATACAAGTGGGTTTAGGACCTTGATAAAAAAATTTCCAATTTTCAGGCTAATTAATACATGTCACCTTCAGATTTTATTCTTGGTTGTATGTTAAAAAAAAACCAAAAGTTTGAGAAACAGCCATATTACCAAGTCTTACCTTGTGATAGCATCTAAAGTAAGCAGCTCGTTCATCTGAGAATTTCTCCAGCCTCTTCGGTCCTTTGCTTGAAGCTTTTTTGAATACTAACCAGCATCTCTGATAAATCTAAAAACACAAGAGAGTAAACTTGGCATCTCCAATGACTTGAATATCACTAATGTTCACATAGAAGTTAAACTCATAAATCGGCTGTTGCTCTGGAGCTACAATTAATGATTCTCAGTAGCTTAGACAAAACATAAAATCAAGCTAGTGGGTAGTTATATCCTATTTCTTTGGAATTACGATACAGTCAGAAATTCTTATGAAGACAGTGCATGCTTGAGTGAAAGGTGCTAGGAAGAAAGAGCTGCAATTAACGCTTGCAAATGCAGGGCTTTCTAGGAAACAGCTTTTTAAAAATAAAGTGACACACTTTTCCATGTGGATTTGTTACTGGTTCCAGTCTTGCATGCTTAAGACAGACATGAAGCAAGCTTGAGCAGACAAGTAGGAATGGACATTCCATCACGCAAGTATGAGAGATAAAACTGTAAGCGTATATTCTATGTATAAGGGTAAATGAAGATACATAAGGGAGAAGGAACTGAATCACCAGGTAACAAAAAAGACAGATTGTTTAACTGTAGAACCCAGGACTATTCTGACAACGGGCGTTTTGCTTTCAAGGTCCAGTTGAATTTCAATTCAAGTCACTTGGAGCAGACTCTGTGCAGAGTGATTGAAAAAGCACCTTTCCATCTACAGCATTAAGCCACTTCATCTCTCAAACTTCTGCCACCGTTTCTTGCAATCTTCCCACCTATTCTTTAACTGTGGTGCACTTTCTACCCTCCTCTTACATTCAAAACCATAGCTCTCAGCTTAGATACCATACTGTCTGTACAGAAGGAAAGAATTATAAGCCTTGCCAACTGTTCACAGCCTACATTTAATCAGTAATTTCAAAGTAACACCTGGTAAGTTAGAAATAAAGCAAAACTGCCACTAAAATTAGTGTGACTTCAAAGCAAAAAATCTGATCAGCCATTATTAAGTAGTTCACAGCTCTGGCAGAGCTCCAGTGCAGCACAAATTCACTGGAGTGATCAGTGACGAAACCCATCAAAACACCTCACTGCGTCCAGCTAAGCCAGCACCCAACAGGTAACCAGCAGACAAGGCAACTCCATCCTTTGAACCCTTTGGGTTTCTAACCAATGTATTGAGCACAAAACAATTATGTCCATGAAAAGTAGCTATCGCTTTATTTCTGTACCCAGAAATGATTGTTGACTAGCTGTGCTGCTTTCACCAGCTTTTAGCTGTTGCTATAAAGCTGTTCAGAGAACCACATTACTCCCCCCCAGCTTTACTATTCTGCCTCGCATGTGGGCACTCATACTCCTGGCCCACTTGGCTGCAGAAGCATTTAGCATATGGGCAGGCTGCTCTGATGCCAGGCACCAGCTGAACCTATCAAGATTTTCTTCCAATTTTCCAGCTTATTGGCCACTCAACCTGTTCTGTTTAATGCAAGGGTTTGAATTGAATTGTTCAAAAATTACTAGACACTGACCAACATTACAGCTTACCACCAAAAAAGCAATTCAGATATGCACCCACTTCTACTGGAGGAGACTTTCTACGTTTGCCTTCTGAGAATCTTGTTCACTGGGCCTAGATAACCTCATCACACCTGGCAAGAATAACTCTCTAAAACGCCACCCAAAAAAGATTGTCAAAACTTTCAGTATTCAGCCCTTTTGCTTTTCAAAAACCTGTATTTTTAACTTTAGCAATTAGAAGACCATAGAAGAGAACAGAATCCTTTAGTAACGCATTTGCCATTGTACAACACACACGAGGACAACTACAATGTGATGATCTACTCAGACCATCTGCACTCAGAAGCACCTCTCTGGGTCAGCAAGCATCTCAAAGCTGTAGCTGTGCTCCAGTGAGCTCAGCAGCACACAGAATTAGGGGCGGAACAGGAGAATAACTTTCTAATACAAATAAGCAAATAAAGTTTTTCTCTGCCTCCAGCTGGGCACAGATCCAGTATGGTTATCACCCTTCCAAATGCCACTAGGAGCATAAGTATTATTAACAATCAACTCCAGTCAAGCATGGGAGATGGCTATAAGTTGGTGCTATTGGAATTTATTACTGTAGTTCAACAATGACTAATCCAAGACTAATTCTTGGATTTAGATCAGAATCAGGGCACAGCTGGGGAAAAAAAAAAACAAACAAACAACAACAAAAAAAACCCAAAACCCAAAACTGTTACATGTAAGTACCTCCAAGGATGCAAAAGCCAAATCAGCATACAATATAAATACCGGTCTTTAAGTTTTGGTTCCAAGCCCATACTACAACAATTCTCTACCAAAAGAGTCCTCGGGTTGGAATACATTATGCCAGTGCCTCAGGACAATATCATCACAACCCAAGTAACTACACCTGTAAAGAACAAATGGCATTCATCACGCTAACTTGAGCAAACTGGAGGAAAGTCAGGTCGTGAAGGTCCTTCCCCTGAACTTCCTCCTCCTTCTGTATGAGCTAGTCAGCTCTCTCCTCTTAGGGAGTCCACAACAGTAGTTTAAAGTAGAATAAAGTATTTTGTTTTGATTATAGACAATGAACAATTTTTTGCCTGAATATACAGTTTGGAATCCCTTTAATGTTAGCGATCTGACGGTTAACTCCTCTCTGCTGAGCTTATATAAACAAACTGAAAAAGAAGATATATCCCCTCACTTGAAACCTGCTTAGCACCTTCAAAAATGAGATAATGGAGGCATCAAGAATGGGTACTGCTATCACAGTCCCATTTCTCTACTCCCATGACACATGTATCTCACATGTGAACTTCCAGCACCATCTTAACAGAGCATAAACTACGTGATAGCCTAAACCTCTAGCAATAAAGCAATAAAAAAAGGGGGTTGGACTATGTGACCTTTAAAGGTCCCTTCCAACCCAAACCATTCTATGATTCTATGAATAACCAATTTGGCAGCACCTGCCTAGGAGCACTGAAAGCCCTTCAAAGCAGTCAATGCACAGAAGAGATGATGTTGTGCCCAAGACAGAGAGCTAATCACAGACCCTGTTATGAACTACACGACAGAAGAAGTAATCAGGTCTTTGATGCCATCATGATCTAGTACACGTCTGAGACTTGTCAGTATTTCAAGTTGAAGACGGCATGTGAACTGTTTACAGTGTTACAGCTGCCTGACAGCAGCAACAAGAACCAGCCCCAAATGCTCTTAGGTGCCTATTCCATCATGAATACTTTGCTCACTTATCCCTCAAATCAACATTTTCACTACTGCTCCATGAATAGGAATTAGTTGAAAGTACTGCTGTAATTACTTCCACTCCAAACACTTGGGCTGACAGTGATTAGATAATCCAAACAGCAAATCAGGATCTGATGTGCTGAGAGAGAACAGTAATAGTCATCATTTGCATAACACCTAAAACTTACAAAGCTCTCCCTGTGAGATCTTCCGAGAAAGCCTAACTCAAAATTTAATTCGAGTATCAAAAATTAGCATCTACTTCCTATGGTCTCTCCTGAAAATTTTGGCTTCTAACAGCCCATGGAGCAGGTAACAATTTAAAACTCGAGGGAAATAATGCGACTGTTTATGAAGTGGATCATCCGAAACCCAGATAGGTGATCCAATATGCATGTCCAAGGTCACATCAAAACAGTTCTATTTTTGGCTCTAAATACCAGCTGATATAAATCATTACCACAACTGAAGTCAAAGAAGGAGTGACTTCAAAGGAATGATGCAATCTGAGTATTTGGATTCCTGCCTCTCAGTGCTATGCCTTCGAAACCAGGCAGGATTGCTCAGCCATTCCCATGCTCCTTCTGATACTGGAAATACACCATGAAGAAAAGGAGCTGTTAGCCTCAGCTGGAACTGGTCAGCATCTGGCTGGGTAAAGTGGAAAAATGTCTTTTGACTTTCCTGGGTTTCATGATTCAGTCGTGGTTTGAGAATACTCTCACGCAGAGAGGGAAACTGAAACTGGAGGCTTGCTGTCCTACGTGACGGCCCAAACCCCTGGACCATCCTGGAAATGGGTGTGGGGAGGGAGACCTGTCAGTCTTCAGCACCTCCCAACTGATCAGAAAAGCAAGATAACCAAGAGCTAGATTTCTGAGTGTCTAAAATGTCATTCTTTATACATGAAGCACAAACTATTCCACACGAGAAACAGACATTTGGATTTAGAAACTAAAATTTGCATTTCAGCCCAAAGCAAGTTTACCCCTGCCCTCAATACTTTTGTTCAGCAACTGATCTAAAAAAGTATCTGGAAATAGCCAACTATTTAGAAATTGGAGGGGAGAGGCTATTTTTCATATCTTGGGGCAGGGGGTTTAAAACTGGCTATTTTTTAAAACTAAGATATGTTGCTTCCGCTACACTATGGCAAAGCAAGCCTATTTTACTTCAGTTCCAAACAATCCCACCCCTTATTTGTTTGTTATTTAACAGGGATATAGAGGTCAGATACAGTTGCACAAAGTCTCATCTGGCAAATTTCTCCTTTGCAAACAAAAAGTGAGCCTTCAGGGAAAGCTGCCCTATTTTATTCTCGTGTTGTGTTTTTCTGCTCTCTGCCCTAAAACAAAGAATTCCAATGAGCTGCTTTTACAGGGACACCGAACTTGCCATCAAATAAACACAAACTTTGCTCTTTTTTAAAAGCAGTAGCTGAAAGTACTATCATGCAGCTTGGGATGATTACCAGAAAGCCTGGGCCATTGCCAGGAACTTGCCATTTGTGACTCTGATAACCTCTAGAAACAGATAATCTAGTAAAGGCACAGCACAACAGCACAAGAAATTTCTTACAGTATGTCCTGAACTTTTTTTTTGGTAGGAAAAAAAGTGCTGCCAATTTATCCAAGACTGATAAGATAGCTCACCCACTGAAGTACCTCTGGTGCATATGGAAAATTATTTGAGTGTTTTGCTGGGCTTTGCCAGGGAGTCTCCAGTGGACTGGAGTTCCAGGTACAAGATCCCTTCCAACAGGGTGTTGTTCACACAGGAAATTAGCCAGCTAGTGCTAAGTGTTTGGAT